TGAACAAAATGAAAAATTATGATTGGTTGAATGCGGTTTGCACGGTTTGTACAAATTGAGTGATTTGCATTTGATCGCTCCCATATATATATATATATATATATATATATATATATATATAAGGGTTCAAAGTAAAACCTTGAATAAATGAAAAACTATAAACAAAATTTGGGCAAATTCAATTACACCAAATAAACAATCATATTTTTCTCGTTAATTTGACATCCATATTGATATATATTTTTTATCCGTTTTTTGATATTCCATTTATATAGAATTTTCCCCAAAACTTGACCATATATATAGTGGATGGATCAAATGCAAACTAAGTCATGTGTACAAAACGTGTAAACCTTATTCAACCAATTATAATATTTTTTTTCACTTTTTTAATTATGATAATTGATTATTCATTTTTATTGTGAAAGATATTAATTATGGACATTATCATTTTCATCATATTAATTTTAGAAAACAAATTTCACCAAAATGAGAAATACATGAAACAATTTTTTTTCCATGAAAATAAAAATATATGAAACAATTTTATCAGATTAAACAATTTCATGAAACAATTTATTAAATTAAACCATGAATTGACTGTTGTACAAATGATTTGGTTTGCATTTGATCCCTTCCCTATATAATGCAATCTTTTTCAAATGTTGCAACTAATGTAACCCAATGAATCCTGATTGTAGATCACCCCCTTTAAGGAGTATTTTCATTTTTTTTTAAATGTGATCCCCTTATCTCCAACCACAATTGTCTTATCTTCAACCATTGATTGTTTAATTGTGTGGTGTAGATGAAGTTGCATTGGTTGCAACATTTAAGGCAGTTGTAAAGGTTAAAACCGATGCAACTCCATCTACATCACATATCAGTTTGATCAACGCCTAGGAAGGAACTGGTGGCATTTTTGACATTATATTGTGATTAGAAGGACACGTGTGGAATAAATTGGAAAGTATAGGAATTCAACTATTTCTTTTTCGAAAGGAAACACACGCCAGGAGAAATCACCAGAACATAGTTGGCAATTGCTACTGATTTTATCGTGAAAATCATATCATAGATTGTGATCCACGATTGAAATAGTGTAATTATGGCTTCAAAAACTTTCATTGTGAAATCAACTAAGAGTCGAGAAAGAAAATGGCCGAAAACATCCAAAATTTTCGACGAAGAGGTTAGGGTTTTACAGTGGCGGATACAAGGTAAAGCCATAGGGGGCACAGGCCCCCAACAAACCAATATGAAGCCCACAAGAACGAACATTATTTATAGTTTTAAATATATTTTTTAAGCTAAAATTACAAATAGCCCCCAATAATTAAAAGATAGATCTCCATATTTAATCTCTACCATTTCATTTGCAACTTTTATTTCATTTCATTTCAAAGAGTTACCTATATAAAAATCAATTAAATTCTAATGTCCTTAATTTCTAAGTCTTAACTCATTGAAAGTCATTTTATTTGTCTTGTTTTATTTGCTATAATTCTAATAATTTGATCCATCACTATTTTTTTTTCAACTTTTGAGGAGAGTGGTTAGTAGTCACTCTAGAAGACAATGAAGACTTACTGTCGAGGTTACATCTTGGTAGAGAGTGACTTGTATAGTAGCAGAGTGTCCACTAAATTCAACTGAATTCCGACATAAGTTATTGGGTAAGACTTAAATATATGTTCTTCTTTGTAATTGAAATCAGTGTGGTCCTTAATACTCAAAACCTTGAAGTCTAATCCTTGAGGATACGATTATGATTGTTACAACTTTATCATTTGAGTGACAATCACAGTAACTAGTGTACACTTGCATTGTCCAATATGAACTGTTTGTTAGCCACTGCAATTATGCACAGGCTCACGTACTCCAAGATCCCACTTTCCAGAGGGATATGCGACTATGGTCCTGACCCAGGTCACTTGCCTAGGCGGATGGGTGATCTGACTTGAAAATCTATATGTTACAAAAGTAAATAGTTTGTTTTATTTGTGTTGTTGAAATGGAAGAGAATGATGAAAAAGGAAAACAAATTAACTTCTTAAATATGAGATAAAGGAAAGGAAATATATCATTCTTATAAATATACTACCTTCACTTGTTTTTCTCACTTTTTGTAATTGATAAGTAGATGTGTGATTTTTAAGGGGTATTATCTCTTTCATTCTCTTCCTCCCATATTTGGGAGGAAAATAATCGTTTATTTTCCTTCCTTTTTTTCTTTCCCTCTTAAAAACAAGATATTTTTCTTTTCCCCTCAGTTTCCCTCTTTTTCCTTCGTAAAGAAAGTCTCGAGAAATAACATAAACATCTGACTAAACAAATACAAATCACAACACCATACCCTTTTTTCACTCTGATAGTTTGCCTCAACATAGAGAAAATGAAATTATTTGTATACTATTGAATTTAATCTAAAGTTAAGTGAAATTACATATTACACGTAGAGAAAGATACCACATTCAATTTATTGCTATATAACATGGAAAAACCATCACTCTTATTTGTTCTCTCGAGTTGCTCGTCAAATTGAAGAATTGAGAGTTGGCATAACCGACAGGGGAACTTTTTTTGTTGCAGTAGCTCCATCATTCTCTGTCATGTCTACATCTTTAGGACTTAATCCAGAAGGAAGTTGCCAATTGAAGTAATATAGCATTTGAGCAAGAGCAAACTCAATAGAAATCAAACCAAAAGTAATCCCAGGACACATCCGCCTCCCTGCTCCAAAAGGAACAAACTCAAAGTTTGTGCCCATGAAGTCAACTGAAGACTTGTCAAATCTCTCTGGCTTGAAGCTTTCTGCATCATCCCAGTATTCAGGATCGACTGCACATGCAAAAGCATTGACAATCACTTTTGTTTTTAATGGTATATCGTAACCATCAATCTGACACTGCTCTATACATTCCCTTGGAAGTAACAAAGGGAGAGGAGGATGAAGCCTCAGAGTTTCTTTGATTATGAGTTTAAGGTAAACCAAATCTTCTAAGTCGGCCTCGACGATTGTTTTTTTTCCCTTGAATGTTTCTCTCACTTCTTTTTGTGCTTTCTCCATCACATTCGGGTTTTTCATCATTTCGGACATCGCCCATTCTATTGTCATTGCACTTGTATCAGTGCCTCCCGTAAACATATTCTGTGTCAATAAGAATTTTTTAAATGGTTAGAAAAGTGATCAGAATTGAACTTTTTTTCATGAGTAACATTTAGTGCATACACTGTAAGGGGTGCAATCCCTTTAACTCCCACCATATGGTGACGTCTAACGATCTCGGCTCAAGTTAGATTACACGAGCGTGCATTCAACACCTCCTAACCAATATTCTAGTTTAAAGAACAATCTCTTACGAATCAAATTACACAAAATAGCTTGAGGATTCACTAAAATAACCAAAAGATTACATTTGCATAAATATCACACATTTTCTAATTTTATTCTTATTGATTTATATATGAAAAGCTAAAATTCTTCTTAGATCATGAAACTTGATAAAAACCCGTGGTGTTAGAAAGATATCTAGATTTAAAAAAGATACAAATATTCTATATGAAAATTGAGGGTTGAGTTCATGTGAGACCAGTCTGTTTTCGTGAGACCCGTGATACCACATTTTTACACTTGAAACTTCACAGCAAAAACACTGTGAACGTAAAAAAAATGCGTACCTTCACAGCAAAAACACTGTGAAGGTTATCTTCACAGCATTTTAATGTGAAGTTTCAAATGTAAAAAAGTGGCCTCACGGGTCTCACGAAAACATGTTGGTCTCACATGATCCCAAGTCTGAAAATTGATAATTGATTTATATATAATTTAATAAAATATTAAAATGTTGACAAAATACTTGAAAGATCAATTATAACAAACAAATATTAACTTATTTAATYATACATAGACACGTRTAYATCTGTAAACATCAAACAAATAGATATTATTTCATATTTTAATTTTTCATAATTAAGTCATGAATCATGCTTTTCTAAACCGGTCTTTATTATATCAAATTTTGACTCGAATTTTTTAGTCGTTCAGGACTGTTTATCAAAAAAATCGAAAAAAGAATAAACAACTCTTAATTTAACTGAAATTTTCAAACGATTGTCAGAAAAAGAGATCAAATCTAAATAGTTTTGTAAACCACGATTATCATCTTGTAATTTAAAATTTACAGGGACAAAAAACGCTTTTTTTTTGTCAAACCACAACAAACTAACTTGAGTTTAATATAAAAATAAATCAAGAAAATTATGGCAACAAAATAAATTAATTGAATACCAAATTTTTTTTTCAGGACTGTTTGTTTTTTTAATTTTTCACTTAATCTCCTTTTATGTCTGAATCGGTCAGACATAAGAACTTTCWKATTTTTTTTTTTTTCAAATTAAGAGCTGAATTCGTTTATTTTCCTCTGAATTTTTAAGTGGTAACCTTAGCACTTAAAACCTCTTATTTCTATCGCCTCCTTACGTCGTTGATTGTCTCAGTTTACAAAAACAAACAGTCTTACTGATTCAGATTTCAGACTTCAGACATAAAAACAAACAGTCTGACTTATTCAAATTTCAGACTTCAGCACCACCTCTTAAAATTCAAAAGTGAATTCAGACTTCAGATTTCAACACCTTTTAAAAAACAAACACCACTAAGTCTTTCTAACTTAATTGTCAACCTCTAAATTGTATACCCATTGGAAAGTCAAGGCTCATATTCAAAATTTCAATGCCTAAATGAATGGTCGAAACACCTGGAGCGTGTTTCAAAAGATGATTTTATATTTATATTATATTATAAAATATTTGATAAAAAGTTTTAAAAATTATTTTTTATACATGAAATATTATATATTGATGTATATTACTTAAATTAAAGATTACAAGTAAATTATGTATAATTACAACTTATTAAAGTTTCATGTTTAAGTTTGTGTAACTAACTGCGGATAAACGTAACCCAATAAAGGATAAACATCTCATTTTAAAATATAATTAGAATAATTATCGAGTTATAATAAAATAATTAATTATAATCGTTATAAGAAAATTATATCATCAAACAAAATATAAATTACTTCATTATTGAACATAAATTAAATTATAATAAAAAATATAAATTTTAAATAGTTAATTTAATACTAATATTAATATATGTTTGTCAAATTTTTATGGTATCTTCAAATTTATATTGTATTCAAAAATAAAAACATCATCGTTTTTTTAAAATCATATAAAACCATACTATAACATCGACCGATATAAAAAATAAAATAAAATATTAAAATCAAGATGTATCTCGCTGCATTATGTAAGTACTCTTCTAATAAACCATAACGAATATCTTTGAGTTTTAATTAAGAAAATAAACAATAAGGTCTTTTAGACATTGCATGTTACGACAATCGTCTTAATTACGGTTGGCCATGGTTGACGATTCTTATCTCCATTTCGACCTTTATATCGGTCTTTATTAGGGTCAAACAAAGTACGCCAAAAATGAACTTTTTTTTTTAATTTGAAATCGATGTTATGTTTTTTATTAGTTTTTATGTCTCTAACATTTTTGGTGTTTCCATTTAAAAAACTCTCTCATATACATACAAAAATAAACATGCAAATAAATGATAGTAAATTGGTAAAAGAAAATATGAATTTACGTATGTATTTTCAAATGAATTTTTCGAAATTTACTGTAATTTATTTTTACTGTCTCAACTTTTTTCTCCTTCTTATTTGAATATTTCCTTCATAGATGTACATATCATGTGAGATCAACTACTTTTCGTGAAACCAGTTTGTACCCGTTAGATGACCTAACCTTTATAATAAACATCATGTGTTTTCCTGTAAAGATAAAGATTCGATCATCCGACGATTCAAAAAATGATTTAACAGATTTCGTGAAAAATGGCTACCTCAAGGAACCCAACCCTATACTAATTTGTAGTCGTTAGATGACCAAACCTTTATAGTAATGAATAAACAATTGGCGTTCTACTGTAAAGATTCGATCATCCAAGGGTTCCAAAATAAGATGAGTATCTCAAGGAACCCCAAACTTGTACTAATTTATAGTCATTAGATGGCTAAACCTTTAGTGTTTTGCTGTAAAGACTTGATCATTCATCGATTATAAAGGGTCTCACGAACCAATAACCGTGTGTATATATATATATATATAAATAAAGATTGACAATAGATGGATGTATGGACCTACCACAAAAACAGCCTTGATGTTGTCATCGGTGATGGGAAATTGAAGACCACCACTCTCTTTGATGGTGAAAAGAACATCAAGCAGATCGTTGTCCGATTCTCCTTTTAGTGATTTTCTGCTTTTCCTATCCTCAAAGATTTCATCAAAAATCTTGTCCAGGCTCTTGTGAATCGTGTTCAACTTGGATTTCATCCCAGAAATCACCGAAAGAAACCCAAACTCAGGAAACAGATCGGCAACATAAAACCCACTCACCAATATCCCTAGTTCGTCCACCAACTCGATCAATACGTCTTGTTGTTTGCAGTGCTCACCAAAAGACGATTTGCAAACGATGTTGTTGATCATTTCAGTCACCTTCTCACGTAGGGTTACCGGCTTTCCACAGGCCGATCGAATGAACTGGGTGAAACTGTCGACTTCTTGCTGTCGAAAGCTGCTGAATGATCGGACTTTTTTGTTACTCAACAGTTCGACAGTGATGATCTTCTTTAGTTGTCGCCAGTAATCACCGTAAGGACCAAGAGCAACGTCGGTGCTACCGTACAAAACTATATCCCCGAACACCGAGCTGGGGCGGCTGGCGAGGGCGAGATCGTTGGTTTTGAAGACGTCTTTAGCTAACCTAGGTGATGAGACGACAATGGTGGAGATTTGGCCGAGTTGCAGGTGCATGATTGGGCCGTATTTCTTGGCTAGGTGACGGAAAGAATGGTGCGGCAGTGCTCCGGTGATCTGGTGGATGTTTCCGATGATGGGTAACTTTGGTGGGCCGGGTGGCAGGTTCGGAGTGTTGGAACCATTAGTTTTTTTGTTGAGAATGAAGAAGAAAGAAAGAATGAGCGAGAAGACGATGAAGAGGAAGGTGAAGTCGATCGCCATTGTTACAGAGAGGGAGGAGAGGGTCAGGGAGGTAGTAAATGGTGATGTAGTTGCCTCCATTTACGAACTCTAAATACATGTGGTTGAGTGGCATCACCTTGACTATGAGTTACGTTTCTTGAAGAATTATGCATTGCTTATTTGAAATTGTTGTGAAACCAATAATTATTGAGTAAACATTGGGATTTAGTCCCCAAACTATGTTGTTGCAATCAAATTGGTCCCTAATATTTATTTTTATTACAAATATGTCCTTCACGTATGTAAAATCAATTGATTTTGGTCCGTCACTTGATTTTTTCTATTAACTTCTAATTAGTTAGAAGCGTTTACGGCTAAAATTTAACACTATCATTTTTTTTAACGGGTAAGGTTTTAGTTCATCAAAACGGTATCGTTTGCAACAATTTACCTGCTAAGCGCTTACCGTGGTAGAAGATGTTGCCTTCATTTACCGGATAAGACTCTTGGTCCTTGTCTCACTCTTACCGAGTAAAATTGTTGGTCATTACTATGTTCATCCAGTAAGATAATGTAACTTGGTGTTCATTTATCCGAGTAAGCGTTTAGTAAACGTCCCCTAAGTTTAAAAACTATTTTAATTTTCTTTATTATAATTTATATCTAAATAGAACCATCTGACTCATATAATACAACTTTGGGAGAACATTAAACCATATATCTCACAGTAATTTTCAGGCAACATGATATATAAATATATATATATGATTAAGTTCCGGTGAAAAATAAGAGTTACAGTGAGAATGTGAGAATAAAACCTGTATATATACATTTGTATACCTTCAATTACCTTTATTGACCAATTTTTATCATAATGACCAGAATTTTAACAAATTTATACATGTGAAAGTGATTAAATGTATGTAAAAATAACTAAAAATTGATGATAAATATATAGTAGATAAGGGTAGATGAATGTAGTTAAAAATACCGAAGGTAGTTGAAAGAAAATGAAGCTAGATGAAAATGTTAACTTGTCCACAGACTCATAATTGTTTTTACCATTTTAATCATAATTGTTATTCTCACACGACCCCCACCCCTTATAAAAACACAGTATATGAGGAGGGTTCAAACAAGAAGGCTATAAATACCGAAAAATGTGAGAAGAGATTTTATTCATTAGATTAGATTAGATTTATCGATGGTCAAAATCTTCAAGTCATATGTGAAAATAGAGATAAAATAGCAAATAATTTAAAGAACATAAGAAAGTTAAGGGGAGCATTTTGAAATTTTGTTAAACTACATCATTAATCCACATTTTTTTTTAAATTTAACCATTTTATTTAGATAAAAATAATAAATTACCAATTTCCTTTTAAATTAAATTATCTAAAATATAAGTAATATTTTAATTAAACAAATACTAGAAATATGGCATATTTAATATATGTTAGAAATCGAACCAAACACCCTCTTCATAATCAGCCCATATATGGAAAATGTCGCAATAATAAGACATTTATCATCAAACTCCAAGTTTTGGTGGTACTAAAAGAAGTCCATTGAGCCCTCTAAGTCACGAAAGTGGAAACATGTTGTATTTAAATAAATGAATGACTTACAGAAGAACGAGACATGATCAGTTGTACAACTACAGAGAGACAAGAAACTTGGTTGTTGATGGCTGTTTAATATTAAATTTAAAGGCTGATGGAAGCACTGAACGGTACAAAGCAAGGTTGGATGCTACTGATTTACTCAAATATATGGAGTTGACTTCCCAGGAATGTTTGCACCGTACTTATGTATCTTAGGCTTGGGCTGTAGTTCTTATATTGGGCGAACCAAAGATTTGAATAGTGCGTGTTGCTACACCAGCTCGATGTCAAGAATGCTTTCCTCAAGGATACCAATATGGAAAACGTTCGCATGAATATTCCATGTGGATTCATAAAAAGAAAGAGAAGGAGGGAGGAAAATAAGGGTTGGAGTAGACGATGATGTAGTGGGCTCCATCTATGAAGTCCAAATACATATGGTTCACATTTACTGAATTTAATTTCTTGGAAAATTATGCATTACATATTTGAAATTGTTACGGAATGAATAATTATTTGAGTAAACTTGGGATTTGGTCCCTAAACTATGTTATTATCAAATTAATCCTTAATATTTATTTATTTATTTATGTCCCTGATGTATGTGAAATCAAATGATTTTGGTGCTTCTTACTAACGCCAGTTGATTTTTTCTGTTAACTTCTAATAAATGAGGAGCAATATCGTCATCTAGGTTTGAAAACTATTTTGATTTTCTTTGTTATTTTTTTACCTAAATAAAACCATCCTATTTGTACAATAAAATTTTCGGAAAACATTGAACCATCTCATAGTAAATTTCACGCAATATGATATCTATACTTATAATAAATAAGTAACTTGGGTGACACGTGTCATCTTCTGCTGAGTCGGTTTTCTTGTTTTTCCGCCTAAACATGTATCTAGATACAATTCACATTAGTGGTTCAGTTAGACTAATTTGATTGATATGTGTCCTTTTCTTCAATCAATCCCACTAATTTAGGATGCAATTGATTTTATTCTTGAATTAATTAATTCATATGTTAACTGATTTCCAAAAAAATGGTGTTTACTTCTAAGTTCAAATTCAATTTACTAATATAGTTTCATTTCTAAATTCAATTTTATTCTAAATTCAATTTTATTCTAAATTCAATTTACTAAAAAGTTTTACTTCAGAGTTATTTTAAAAGAACAAGTCTGAAGTCATTCTTCAGAGTTAATTCACCTAGAGCTCTGAAGTTTGCTTTTTCAGACATAGTTCACCCGAACTCTGGAGTCTGAACTCTAAAGTCTTTTTTTCAGACTTAGAAGTCTAAACTCTGAAGACTTTTTTTAGACTTAGAAAAAGAAGCCTAAAGTCTTCTTTTTCAAACTCGGAAGTCTGAACTCTGAAGTATTCTACAATTCTGAAGTGTACAAGTCAGAAAAGTCATTCTTTAGAGTTAGCTCACCCGAATTCTGAAGTCTTCTTTTCAAACTTAGCTTATCCGAACTCTGAAATCTCAACTCTGAAGTCTTTTTTTACAGACTTAGAAGTCTGAACTCTGATTTAATGGGATTGATTTTATACTTCAGAGTTATTTCAAGAATATAAGTCTGAAGAGTCATTTTTCAGAGTTTTATTTCAGAGTTATTTCCAGAGTACAAGTCTGAAGAGTCATTTTTCACAGTTAGCTCACCCGAACTATGTAGTCTTCTTTTCCAGACGGAGCACCATGCAGAGCCTCTGCATAGTGCATGCAGATCCTCTGGCTTGCCTATATAGATCTCTGAAGTTTGAAGAATTTTACTTCAGAATAATTTCAAGAGTACAAGTCTCGTAATAAACTTATTTATACTTTGATGAAAAGTTTTTTAAAACTTAGACTTAGTCTTGTAAGCTAGAGCCCCTCTGGTTGGTCTGGCTTCTGGATGGCTTTGCTTCTAATTGAGGTTGGTCTGGCTTCTGGATGGCTTTGCTTCTGATTGTTTATTTGAATCTTGGAAAAATATTCCAATCTATCATAAAGAAACTAGAGAGGCTCTGGTTGATCTTCATGTTTAACCAGAGGGTCTCTGGTTGTAATTGAAACTCAAATTCTTTAAGTATTTAACATTTTTTTTACCGAGAGGCTCTGGTTGACCAGAGGGCCTTTGGTTAGCCTTGCTTTTGGTTGGTGAGTCCACAGGGGCTCTCGTTCTTAAGGACCAGAGGAGCTCTGGTTGTTCTTGCTCTATATGATGCAAACTTTACCATCAGGTCTTTTTCAAAGATATTGGATATTTGAATAACTTTGAACTCAAGGTCTTCATACTTTGTCTTTAGATTTGGCACATGCACTCTTCTACGTTTAAATTCAATTCACTAATATAGTTTCATTTCTAAATTCAATTTTATCTGACGGTTAACTTTATTTTAACTAATTATTGATATAGTTTCATTTCTAAATTCAAGTCTGAAGTCATTTTTCAGAGTTATACTTCAAAGTTATTTCAGGAGTACAAGTTTGAAGAGTTATTCTAAAGAGTTAGATCACCCGAACTCTGAAGTCTGCTTTTTCACACTTAGCTCACCCGAACTCTGGAGTCTGAACTCTGCAGTATTATTTTTCATACTTAAAAGTCTGAACTATAAAGTCTTTTTTTTAGACTCAGAAAAAGAAGTCTGAACTCTTCTTTTTTAGACTTAGAAGTCTGAACTCTGAAGTCTTATACAAGTATGAAGAGTCATTCTTTATAGTTAGCTCACCCGAATTCCGAAGTCTTCTTTTTCAGACTTAGCTCACCTGAACTCTGAAGTCTAAACTCTGAAGTTTTTTTTTTCAGACTTAATAGTCTGAACTCTGATTTAGTGGGATTGATTTTATATTTCAGAGTTGTTTCAAGAGTACAAGTCTGGAGAGTCATTCTTCAGAGTTTTACTTCAAAGTTATTTTCAAAGTACAAGTTTGAAGAGTCATTCTTTAGAGTTAGCTCACTCAAACTATGTAGTTTTCTTTTCCAAATAGAGCACCATGCAGAGCCTCTGCATAATACATGCAGAGTTTCTTGCTTGCCTATACAAAGCTTTGAAGTCTGAAGAGTTTTACTTTAGAGTTATTTCAAGAGTACAAATCTGAAGTCATTCTTCAGAGTTATACATCAGAGTTATTTCAAGAGTACAAGTTTGAAGAGTCATTCTAACTTTACTTCTAAGTTTAAATTCAATTTACTGATATAGTTTCGTTTCTAAATTTAATTTTATTCTAGGGTTAACTTCATTTTAATTGATTATTGATATATTCATTTCTAAATTCAAGTCTGAAGAGTCATTTTTCAGAGTTATACGTCAGAGTTATTACAAGAGTACAAATCTGAGGTAGCATTGTACTTTCGATAATCATTCATATCTATAAGATAAGTTCCTAGCATGATTTAATTTTTTTCAAATTACCCCATGTAATACACAAGATCGAACCTAGTATATATATATATACACACACACACACACACACACATGTATATATATATACACACACACACATGCGCGCGCGCACACACACATGCGCGCGCGCACACACACACA